ACCTCGTCAGGCAATAGACTAATAGACACGACAACATGCGAAGACTTTGGGCACCGTCGCTGGTGCCTAAGACGACAGATCGACAGGCATTTTGCATGTGGGTGCCACAGGCGAAAGATCGAGAGGCACCTGCCAGCTGTAGAAGACGGGTCAGCACATGCTCGCACAAGGGTGTCAGTCACGCATCCTACACATCAACTTCCAAGCACCGCAAACCTTTCTTGTAGTTCAGGTTTAGAACCAGGTTTGCAGATACGATCGGAAGAGGCAACGGGCGCTTGATGATGTTGGAATGAGTTCAGACCGAGACCGAAACCGCCCGTGCGCAGGTGACGGTTCTGTTCTTGCTAGGAGGATTCAGCGGGTTAGGGTTTAGGGTTTAGGGGCCTTTATCTTTTGGTGCAAGACTCTAGTATGACAAGAGCAGATTCGCAGTTTTGTTTATTGTATGTACCGCTTTGGGTGTGCATGGTTTTTCCTCTGTAAATTTGCACACAAACACAATTCACGAACAAATAGTCAGCTAGATACGTAAGTATATATACACATACATGCAGTCATTCCTACATACGTCGCATGCATGCATGCATTAGAGCATGTGCGGCGCAAGTCAAGCAACAGAAGCACACGCACTTAACTAACATGCTCATTTACATGTGTTTAGGCATTGCGTGGACCGGTGTTACCAAACATGTGTTCCTGTTTGTTCAGGTGCCCATATCTGCCTGTATGTCTGTCCGTCCGTCTGCCTGTCTGTCAGTATGTCTGTTTATCTCTGTATGCATGATGCATGCATGCAAGCATGTCTGCATGTATGTCCGCCTGCATGCATGTACGATCATGTACGCATGTGCGCAAGTGAATGTGTGTGCCACCTTCGAATTTTGTACACAGACTAGAATTATGGCTTTTGGGCACATGCAGACATACAGGCAGACCGGCATAGTGGCAGACTGGCAGAGGGGCAGAGACAGAGACAGAAATGCATCCATCGATACATACATACGTACATACGAACATACATAGAGATAGTAAAAGGCCAAGTGAACATGCACTTGCCTCAATACATTCCAATGTCTGTACGCGTATGCATGCGGACGCAGATGCATAGCTAACTAGACAGACAGACTGGTAGTTCCGTAGACAGACAGGTAGATAAACAGATAGGCAGATAGATGGAGAGACGGATAGATAGACAGATGGATGCGCAACTGGATAGACACATAGGCCGAAGGAAAGATAGACGGGCAGACGGATACACAGATTGATAGGTAGATAGGTAGATCGGTAGATAAAAATTTAGGTGGACATAGCTAGAAAGACATAGGGATAGGGCATACACATCATCGGCATGGCTAGAGGCACAGGGCGTAGGCAAGTCGCCATGGACGTGGACATAGTCGTAGACATAGACAGAGTAAGAGACAAAGATGGACAGACAGTTCGACGGATAGAAAAATAGGTAGATAGACAGCTACAGATCTGGATAGCTAGATATGACATCGAAACATAGTTATACAGATCAATAGACAGGGTTAGAGAGAGAGAGAGAGAGAGAGAGAGAGAGAGAGAGAGAGAGAGAGAGAGAGAGAGAGAGAGAGAGAGGGAGTCTTTGCCTTGGGGATGCCGTACCACGTGCTTGGTGTCGGTGAGTTACCCAGCCATGTTTCCTAGGTTTAGCTCCAAAAAGGATGAGAAGGACTTGGAGCTTCATGAAAAGTTGGAACTTAGGGTTTAGGGTATACACCCGAAGCCCATCTCTGCAGATTCCATTCCGACTTAAACAGATCGAATGCTGTGGGGAACTTTCCGACGTGAAGCGTGCTCCTTGTGCGCGCGGTGGGGCAGGAAGTTTGTCTCCAGACCCAGTCCCAACAGCCGCAGAATTCGCCAGACTAGCTCATCAGAAAACTGCACTTGCTCACCGATACGCTGTAGCTCTCGAGCACACTAAACCCTGAATCCGAAACCCTCAACTCCATCAGCACTCTCAGCCCTAGACCCCAAACTCCCAAACCCGAAGCTCTAAAGAACCCTAAGCCTTGTTTTTTAGGAGCTGAAAACAAAAACAGAACCCTGCGCCGTCACTATGACTTCTGGAATTCAGGATGGGTCCCCGGGGGGTTTCCGCCTCCCATCGCCAGCTAATGTAGGGGCCTTAATGATTAGAATAGGGCTCCTTTAAAGGAGTCCTTTACAAGGGGCTTAATAAGGACTACTATAAGGGGTATTATGGGGGTTGAGTATAGGGCCTTATTGATTCGAACAGGGTATGGGGGTATTTTATACTATAACTATAATAAGGAACCCCCAAGACTCTTCTACTTATTCAGGCGCCTACATTAGCTTGTTTTTCGAGGCAAGGGGTTTGTGCGAAAGTTCGGCCTTCAGCTGTTTTTAGGGCGTTTTAGTGGTAAGAGTCGGTAATAATGTAGGTTTAAGAGTCTTACTGGAATAGGACCCGACACGTAAAATCGACTATCCACGAAAGTGTCCATAATGCAGGGTCTGCGCCGCAGAACGGGATTTAGAATGCTTCCTGTGAGTGGTGAGCTCCTGCGCTGTTGCAACCACTTAAGCCTGGGTCGGACCTACGTGGAGGTGGCAACTACCCCTGATCCAACCAATATAAAGTAACCCATGGAGGAAGCATTCAGATCATACTTTGCACATAGCGGTATGCCAACATCATGAGTAAGTCATATTCGGGAGCCCTTTCTAGTTCGAGATATCTTGCTCCGTCATGGGGATATCGGGGGGCTCTCTCGGTGCTCTGGCTGAGACCCCTAGCCCTGAACCATAAAGCCGGTACGCGCCCCAAGCGTCATACGCCCTCAGCCCCAAACCCGAAAGCCTAAACCCTATACCCGGCCGTAGTTAAGGCGACGCAGCTTGCGGGGAGGAAAGAAGCTGAGGCTTCGCCTTGCGCGGCGTGGCCATTTTGGCTCGAAGTTTGGTCTAGCAAGGGACTATATGAGGTGTCTAGCTCAAAGGGTTCTTGAAGGTGTGGGGTTTAGGAGGGTTGTATGGGCGCTTGTTTCATGTTGCTTCATTTTGAGGTTACTTAGGAAGGTATGGGGTTGCAAGTTCCTTATTCCGAATCCTAGCCCGGCACTGAAGCTGACGCGCTATGGATACCGCACTAGCAAAGTAGGTTTTCTTCAGCACGCCACCAGAAACCAGGAGTGTGTAGCACCGAGTTACAGAGACTGAGCTTGAAGGCATGGTTATAGGACATCCTAGCCCCGAGCACCAGCTACTCCCGGACCTGCTGTAGTTCCTCGCAGCCGGACTGCCAAGCGGATGAAAGTCGTGCTGGCGGGTTTCCCGGTGTTCTTTGCCGCCTGCTTCGCACAGGAGGCAGCTCTCCCGGCAATACTACAACCTACTAAGAATATAGGCTTGTGAGCGTTATCATATCATGATCATCAGTTCGATCGGAAGTCTGTTATGATGGTGGTCCTATTACTACTTGGTTATTGGTCTTTCCAGGGTTAAGGCGCTCCAGTCCGGACAAGCGCCCTTTTCGCGCTGAGACCCTACTTGGAGGTTCGGGGCAGCTATAAGTGGGGTTATGAGTCCCCTAATATTGGTTATAAGCAAAGTTACCCTACTTATAACCTACTTGTAGCTAACCATGAACCCCCAAGCAAGCCCCCCCGTCCACTAAGCCCTGCCAGCTCTAAAATGGTTGACCTTACTTTTCCCGTGGTTCAAAAGACCTACTGTTTTTCAGTTTTTGAGGAAGTAGATAGAAACCAGGAGAAGAGCCCAAAACGGTAAGGGCTTTCAGCTACAGGTAAGCCCTACCTACGCCTTAAAACTCCCCACTTGGATGTTCATGGGTTGTTAGACTTAGAAGTAAGGGTTTACAAGTAGGGTAACTAATACTTATAACCCTTATTAGGGGACTTCTATGCCCATTTAGAACTATATACCCTTGAACCTCCAAATAAAACTCTCTAAGCTCCAAAACACCCTGAAACATTCAGAGTTCAGGAGACTCGTTTAAGCTCCAGGGCCGCGCTCCGAGGTGCAGGACGAAACCCCGAAGTGGGGTTTAGGGTTAGAGGGTTTAGGGTTTAGAGTTGAGGATTGAAAGATGATTGGAGGTCGTAGACTGGCTTCCAGTAAGAAGGGTTCTGAGTCCTGCTACGGTTTCTTTCGGGCTCTCGGAGGCTCACTTCAAGGTTTTGGGGTTTAATGTAGGGGCCTTAACTATGTTGGGGGGTCCTTATCATAATTATGGTGTAATAAACCCCCAAACCCTATTCTATTTATTCAGGCCCCTACAGTACTCTTGTGCTGGTGCCTCGAGTGTAGGGGTTTAGTGTAGGGGTGCTATCAGGCATCCTCAACAAGGAAGCTCAATTAGGGGCTACTGTTGGCCTTTTTTCCTCAGTTGTTTAGGGTTATGGGGTTTCCTGTAGGATCTTAATCAGAAGGCTGGTAAAGCTAAAAAGGGAATATGTTGGAGACTGTAGGTAAATAGTGACGAAGGAGCGGGGCAGAGGCAGCTGCAGTCAGCCAACTCATCAACAACGGAGGTGGGATGTGGGCCCTCTGGGTTCAGAGGTTATATTGTGCTGGGAGTGATGAGTTTGGAAATGCCTCACCCGAAATTTGGGGTTTAGGGTGTAGTGACTCGTAGTGTCCTGAGAGTGGTGAATCTTATGAAGAGGGGGTGGCACAAGGAGCATGCGTTTCCTGCGCCTACCACCTACGTTTCTGTAGGTTTTTCCTACAGAAAAGTAGCCTGTGGCATATTGAGGTGGCTGAAAGGGTCTTCCCGTTTGGGTTGTGCTGTGGAGAATAGGGCACATGAAGCTGCTCATGAGCAACCTTTGCTCCGTGTGATCGAGTCGTGCGTCTTTTGTCAACGTCTAAGCAGGACGTCCTAAACCCTAAACCCCTCGCCTGGATTGTCCGAGTGTGATCGCCGAAACCCCAAGCATGCGCTCTAAGTCACGTGGTGTAATATCTTTCCGAAGCAGCCCGAGGTCCCGGAAGCGACGGCAACCGTGGTCCCAAACTGCCGCCAAGGCTACATCGATGTTACCGGAGGAAGCTTTTCAGAATCGGATTATTTTGATTCGACAAAGCTCGAAACTGGTCTTTGCTTTATGTTGAAACACAACTTTTCAGCTCACGCAACCATCTTCGGATGAGCAGCGAAGGAAAAGCTTTCCCATGGACATGCGCTTTTTACTGTGAAGGTGGTCAGAATTTTGCCACTGCGAGCTGTCTGTGTGCCTGCCTTACCCAAGAGCAGATAGACAGGCTCGGACTTTCACTGATTCTTGGCTTTCCTGAGTACTGCGTTTTCGTCGCTGGGCCGGGTTTTCTTGGCAAGGACACTGTCCAAAAAGTATTCGAAAAGGTTCCTGGGTAGTTGTAAGATGTTGCAAGTACTAGAAGTGATAAACACGTGGTTGCATGTGTAGTGTAGCTAAGGCTTTTCGGAGCCTGCTGTAGCTGGGTATCGGTTGGGAAGCGCCCTGAATCTTCAGCACAGCACAGGAATGCCACGACGACCACGCCTGGTGTAGCAAGCGGTGGTGAAGTCCTGGTCACGCCGCCACCAGACACGGAGGGAATCTGGTCCGACCCTGTGGAAGAGCCTGGGCCCCATAACACTGAACCCTTATAAGCCCTAAACCCTAAATCCTGAACTCTAAATCCGAAGTCCTAAACCCTGTGCCCTAAACCCTCAACTCTAAGTCCTGAAACCTAAACCCAGAATCCTAAACCCTAATACCCTGGGAAAGATCGCAATGCCAACTCAACAGGCACGAAGAGTTGTCTCAGGTGCTGTACGCTTTGGTGCTTTGTGGTTTACGGTGCACTGCCAAGCCGGTAGAAATCAAACAAGCCTGAAGGGCCCATGTACCCAACTAGTATATACTTTGGCCTGGAAAAGTACTCCGTATATAGGTACATGGGGCCCAAAGGATACACTATTTTGGTACATGGACCCTTAAACCCTAAACCCGTATAGAATCCTTAAGGTACCCTCCAGGGCACCCTTAAAGGAACCCAATTTGGAAGCAAAGAATTCAAGGAAGTGCCGGTCGGAGAGCTGAATGAAGGTCGCAGCGAACCGTTTGCACAAGGAGGGCCGGACCATGACTACCTTGATGAGAGTGCGAGCACCACGACGCTTGGACCGCGCACGTCTGCTTCAGCAGCCCATTTCCCTTTTGCTTACGAATTAATTGTAGCCTTTTTTGTTCGAACAACAGCCGTAAACCCTTAGACCCTTAACGCCGAACTCCCAAACCCGCAAATCCAGAACCTTCTTAGCTGAGTCCCCAGAGTTTTTGCGGCGGGAGATGAGCAGAGCCGACTTTACTGGCAAGCTGGGAGGATCCAGCAAGTAGAGCCTTTAAGCGGGGTTCCTACGACGTACCCTTTGGTAGTATAGGGTCCGAAGTTAGGACATCTACTTTTGACAATCCTGCCGGCTCGCGGGGGTCTGGGTTCCTGGCAACCTAGGACCACTCCACATCCTCTAAATGTTGGGAATGTTTCCGAGACAATGGGGAGATCTATCTTAGTTATGGTTTAACATTTGTTCCTCAACAAAGGGTATTGGAGTCTTTGGGAACCTAGGACCCAAACATACACAGTAAGTACAACAACAGAAGTTTTTGCAATGACTACTAATAGTCATGGCAATAACGGTCATGTTAACAACAAGAGCAAAGAACAATGATCATCATCATAGTCACACTCATGACAATAGTGGTAACCTAGTAAGCTGATTAAGAAACCCTGGGCCTATAACCCCAAAATAGTAGGGTTCATATAAGGAACCCTCATAAAAGGCCCAAGGTGGTTTCCTCAGGTTCTTACATGAAGAAGAATTAAGGACCACAGAGCCCCCTCCTCCGACGGAGCCGCCGCCCTACACTGACTGGCAGAGCCTTGGATCTGCCTCAGCAGGGATTTTGGGTTTCCCTAAACCCTACTTGGAGGTTCATGGGTAGTTATAAGTAGGGTAGCTATACTTATAACCCATATTCGGGGACGTATAGCCCTACTTATAACTACCCAGGAAACCCTAAGCCAAACTTTAGGGTTTTGGTGCTCAAATCCTACCGGGCATAGGCATAGCCCAGGCAAAGGGTTTAGCAGGGGTAGGCTTTCGGTCTGTAGGGTTTTGGCAGTCAGGGGTTATAGGGCTTTGGGAGTTTAAGTGTTTTCGGGTTGGGGCTTTAACTTTAACAGGGCTTTAGGGGTTTAGGGAGAAGGGCTTTGGTCTTCAGGGGCTTCAGCGTTTGAAGATTTGGGGTTAAGGGGTTGGCCCTAAACCCTAAACCCCAAACCTTAAACCCTAAACCACATGCCTCGCCTGGATTGTCCGAGTGTGAGCGCCGAAACCCTAAACCCTGGACCCCTAAACCCTAAACCCCATTCGGCTTAGGACTTCGGGTTTACGAGGCCCCTGGGACCGAGGCTCGTTGCAGTGCATGTACGCACTGCATTCCAGGAAAACGCCCTAAACCCGAAACCCACCGGTTCTGCGGTTTAGGGTTTGGGGTTTAGGGTTTGGGGTTTCGGGTTTAGGGGTCCAGGGTATAGGGTTCGGGGGTGTAGGGATAGTCGTAAACCCCTGAACCATTCTTGGCTATAAGCTCAACTTTTCAACTTTTGGGGTTCTTATAAGGCGTAACGGTTTAGGATTTTTATAAGTAGTCGATTCTGAAAGTTTCAACTTTTGTTTCCTTGGGTTTTAGGCCAGTGAGTCAAAGTAAACGTCGAAGCCGAGACCTCAGCTGGCCAGCCCGAGTTGCCAGAGCGTCAACCATACTTAGAGGATCATGGGGCTTAGTAAGTGTAGGGTTACTTAAAGGGATCTATAGGGTTCCGTAAAGGGGGCTATAGGGTCCAGGGAGTACTTAGAGGATCATGGGACTTAGTAAGTAGGTTATAATTGGGGTTATAAGTCCCCCAAGTGGGCTTATCCTAATTATAACCTACTTACTAAGTCCCATGAGCCTTCAAGTAGACTCTTGCCATGGACCTTCAGAAGCCGTGCCTGCCCAATGCGAGTATGCGAGTCGAAGCCCTAAACCCTACTAAAACTGGCTCAAGAGTTGCTTTCACAGGGTCCATGTTGAGTTAGTATATAAGCCTAAATAATTACCATTATTATTGTTAGGGTTCCTTGTACTTGTTACGGCCCCTACCTCAAGGATCCGGAGCTCAGAGTCTCCACGGGTGTTTAGGGGTTTGGGAAACAGGGCTGGGGGGAGGGTTTGGGGGTCGAGGTTTCAGCATTTTAGAAACCTTAAACCCTAAACCTTAACCGAAATCCTAAACCCTAAGCCGTGGGCAACGCCAGGACCATCCTGCTTGTCTTGACTGGCACGTTCCTGATCATGGTTGCTGTAGGGATGGTCGTGGCCTTCGCGCACCGGAATGGCTTCCTTGGTGCTATTCAGGCGGTTCAGCAAGTACTACTTGGAGGTTCACGGGTAGTTATACATGGGCTAATAAGTCCCCGAACATGGGTAATAAGTATAGTTACCGTACTTAAAACCCTACTTACGACTACCCATGAACCTCCAAGTACAAGAGGGGAACTTTGAAGTTTTTTTTGCATCACTACTACCACATGGGAGTCTGAGAGCTACCCAGGCACTCCCAACGAACCCTCGTGTCCGAACCCTCAGTCAAAGATCCCTGCTATAGGGGCCTGAACAATCAGTATAATACTTTTTTGCTTATAGTCCCTACTTAGTTCTACTTCCCAACAGTGTACACCCAGCATTTTGCAAAACCCTGCTCTACTTGTAAAGGCGCCTACATAGACTCATTAGACCCTCGCCTTTGCTGTTTTTGCATGCCCTGCTGTAATCCCGATACCTGTAGTTCTGGTAAGCACCCCCCAAAACCCTAGTGTAATGATCTTATTCTCAGCGTCTGGAGCGAAAAGCAGTTGGCACTTGGATATCCTTACCCCGATGTGGTTGTTCAACCCTATCGAACGCTCCCCAAGCCGTTATGAAGCCATTACAAGGACCGCTGAACCAGATACACCTTAAACCCCGCAACCCTACGTGTCTAGAGGCTTTCCAAAGATCCCGAAACAAGGTAAGGCTTTCCCAGTTCGGGGGCCTGCAACCCAGGAGAAAACCTATCGCTTCAGGATTCAACGCTCAGTTTACGGGTTTGGGGTTTAGGGTCTAGTTTAGGGTTTTAGGGTTTAGGGGTTGCGGGGGTTTAGGGTTTACTGAGTAGCTGAGTGGATACATTTTACACTGTTTGGGATGATATGACCCACTATAAAACTAAAGGTATACACTTGTGGAGGCTTATGAACTCAGCAACTAAGTTTAGGGGTGTAGGGTTTAGGGGTTTAGGGTCCAAGCTTAACCTCGCTGGAGAGGGTGGTTGTGGGATGGTTTATGCTGGCGTTCCTTCTTTTGTAGGATGGAAGCTGCTGGGGGAGAGTGGTCCTTCATGTTTTCTGCTTCTACTGCAGACCCTTGTAGACTTGCCTTAAACCCGCACTTAAACATCTAAGCCCTGCTACAAACTTGAAGCCTTCCCTCTTTAATTCAAACCCCAGCCGAAGGCATCAAGCAGGGTTTCGGGTTTAGGGACCCGAAATTCCCTTAAACCCTAAACCCTAAAACCCTAAACCCTAAACTTTAGGGACCCGAAATTTGAGCAGGTGGTAAAGACCAACAAGCTGGACACGCCCTGCCACGAGACGAACGAGACAAACGAGACGAACCACCATCCCGCGGACAAAAGGCTCAGTCCTGACGCCCTGGCGTTGTTGGAGTTTTTTTTTTAGGGTTTAGGGTTTAGAGGCTTAGGGTTTAGGGGCTTAGGGTTTAGGGTTTAGGGTTTAGGGGTTTAGGATTTAGGGGTTTAGGGTTTAGGGGTTTAGGGTTTAGGGTTTACCCTAAGGCCCCAAAGTAGTTCCTCTTTGGGGTTCATTTATAGAATCCTATAAGGCAATCCCAAAAAGGAACTACTTTGGAGCCTATGGGTAGGGTTATGGAGCGGTTTCGGGCTTTAGGGTTCAGACTTGGAGGTTTAATGTGTCGGGTTCTTGTCACTTGGGCTTTGCATCGGCTAAGATTGTTTTGGTGCTTTGAGCATAGTTGTCTGCTGTGCAACTTCCCGCAAAAAACGCCAAACTCTTCACAGCCCTATCGAGAGAGTTCTTCTTCGGGCAGGTGCAGTTAGCCGCAGCGCAATCAGGATTTCGGATGCCCTGGTGGGTCGAGGGCTGGGGTTTCCGGCGGTTTACGACTAGAGGGACAGGAGCTGCAAGTACTGTTGGGAATCTGCTCCCGTACTGAGAAACCCTAATGCCTAAACTGCCTTACAGGCCAATGGCCCCAAACTCCCTAAACGTTAACCCTTAACCCTATAACCCCTATAGACTGTAGACCCCTAGCCTCTGAACCCTAAACCCCTAACCTCTCGGATCCTCGCCTGCTTGTCTAGTTGTGAGTGCTGAAACGCCTAACCTCTAAACTTAAAGCTGATCCCTGAACTGTAACAGCCCCGAACCTCAAGACTTCCAAAAGTCCGAACTCAGAACTTCATCTGGGCAGTTGTCCAAATTATGGTCCCTTCTAAGGTACCCTAAATATTATGTGCCGTATTATAACAAGGACCCAAAAGGGGACCATAATTTTGACAACCACCCATCTGTCTTAGTCGAATACGTCCCAAAGTTGCTAAGCCCTTCGCAAGAGCCTCAGGGGCTTTGCGTTTATTGGGTTTAGGGTTTTGGGATTTAGGGTTTGAGGCTTAGGGTTTCGGGCCTATGGCTTCAGGGCCTTCAGGTTTGGTGGTTTAAGCGTTATTTGAGAACCGAGGACAAACTCTCGTGTCTTCGACGAGACAGTCTGCTCTCGGCGACTGGGTCTCTCGAAGGTTCAGTGCAATCAGGGTACTCAGGGTGTAGGGCTTGGGGGTTTAGGGTTTCGGCTGCAGAGCGTTCAGGTGTGAGGTCAAGGTAGCGGTGGGCAGTGCAGGGAATTCGGGCTTTCGAGTTGAGAGAAAGCACTGAAACCTACCTATCGTCTCCATTCTAGTTCTTTTTTTTGGTTAACCGGTTCTACGGTTAGGATCCTATAATATAATTTTTGGGGTTAACCAAAAAAGGAACTACAACGGAGACTCGACGTAGAACCCTCGAATCCCCGGAACCGGTCGAGCCGTAAATCTATACGGGTTAGCTGTCAAAATTATGGCCTCGATTTTTGGGTACCCTAAACACTATTTGGAAGGGCAGGGGACTTAGTAAGTAGGTTATAAGTAGAGTTATAAGTGCCCCATAACCTACTTACTAAGTCCCCTGCCCCTCCAAGTAGGTGCCGTATTATATGAAGGACCCCAAAACGCACCCTAATTTTGACAACCACCCCTATACAAGCTGGTCTGGAACTCTGCAGCCCTCAAGCATTACAGCTTGGGAACCTGCTGCACGGTTTTAGCCTACGGCGAACTCCAGAGGATGGATGAAGAATGATTGGGGTTTACTTGGAGGTTCATGGTTAGTTATAAGTAGGGTGATAAGTCCCCGGATATGGGTTATAAGTATAGTTCCCCTACTTTTAAGCCTACTTATAACTACCCAGGAGGGTTTAGAGTCAGGCTTCCTCGGATTTGTCCAGGATTAACGCTTGCTGGCGATTGCTGCTTACTTCGCGAGTTGACGCGGTAGGCAAGCACAGCAATTCCAAAAGGCAGTTGCTGAACACGTTGCTGAATTTCGCGCGGGCTTCTCTCTGTAAGTCGGTAAAGGTTGTGTTCAACTATATATACAAGGCTTCACGGTAGCTAGGCTTTCGGGAGGGACTGAATTTTCGAGAGCTCTAGTTGCACCTCAACCCAGAATTTGCAGTAAGCCGTAACTGCTCTCCGGTCCTGGAAAGTCCTTGCAGAAACGGACCCAGGCTATCACAGCAAACCTCCGACGAAATTCTAAGGACACCTGCCCGATGTCAGCGAAAGCCATGGTGGCCATGGACCACCTCGATAAGCTGCGAAATTCCGGGGATGCAGCTGCGAAGCACGCGGCGAACTACCATCTCGACTCCCTGAAGATTGCGCGAACCAGGCTATTGATATGATCGTTGTTGTTGTTGTTGTTGTTGTTATCGTTTGTTAAAGTTATCATTACCGTTCTCAGGTGGGCTGGACAGGACAATTGAGGGCCAACGGATGTTCACGACGGGTGGATAGCTGAGCAGCTGGTAACCTATTAATGTTTCGGTCATGGTGATATATCGACACAATAACTAGGCCCTAAACCATAACAGCCTACACCGCTTCTGGGGGCGGCGATAGCTACACGACTATCAGGTTAGCTATGTTGGGAGCACAGACATCTAGGTCTGGTGGGTTCGCAGTTTTTATCCACTTTTGGGGGGAGTACTGGAGATGCAGGAGCGAAGAAACTGATCCATGAGAGTTCCCGAGGGCCTCACACGGTTCTATCATGGGCTTAGTGCGGCCTACAAGCTTTGTGCTCATAAGTGCTGCGAGTTTGTGTTGCACTGGTGTTGAAGGGTCGTCTCCAAAGGTTCGACATGACTGGGTCCGAAATGACCAATGGGAACAGTGCTCTTGATTACTTTTGAAAGTTGCTACTCGAATGCTGACCGGTGCCCCCGCCCTTATTGTTTGCATGCATACTTACGCCTGTCATCCTAGGCCTCATACTATGTACAGTAACCCGGTTTGATACTCTATGCTCCTTTTGGAAAGTCTTGTTTCAGACCCATACATTTCCAGGGTTTCTGGCCGCCCAACTGGGGGTAACTTTAAACCACGTATATAGGGATAAGGGTGTCCGAAACACGGATTAGCTTAAGGCATCCTCAGCCCAACTTCCGGTAACTACTATATAAGGAACTATGGCACCAGCCGAAAATATCAGGCAAGATCAGCTAGATTGGGACTCTTTCGGCTCTTTGGGTTGACCTCTCTCTCTCTGTCTCTCTCTCTCTCTCTCCCCACTGGGAGGTTCATGGGTAGTTAGAAATGGGCTTCCAAGTCTCCGAATATATGGGTTATAAGTGCAGACGTCCGGCCCCAGCCCGTGACTCAACAAAATGTATAGTTATCCTACTTATAACTCTACTTCTAACTACCCATGAACCTCCAATCAGCTCATGTGCGGGTCAGTAGGCCCGACGACACCGGCGGGTCGGACAGCGCCCAGAGGCGTCCTGTGGCAGGGATCCCCAGCATTGCCTGCTGTCGTTGCTTGTCGTCGCCTTTCCAGTCGTTGTCCTTATCTCTAAGGGTAAAAGGAGGGACCCTTAATAAGGACCCCTAGGTATATATCCTTAATTTTGCTATTATATACCCATTATATAGCCCATTATAGGGTAGGGGTCCCCATTAAGGGTCCCTCCTTTTCCCCTTTGATTATCTTTATCTTCGTGGTCTTTGGCGTTGGCCTTCGCCTTGGCCTTTGGGTTGTGGTTGTGGTGTTGGTGATGTCGGTGCTGTCCCGTAGTGTTTTATGAAACAGGCTTGTAGTGGTTTATACAACTGTTTTATCAAACACGACAAAAAAACAATTCCGAGGACATGGAGTTGATGATGCAGCGGCGGAAGTCTGATCCAGAACGGCCTCAGGTCTGGCATGGGTTTCCGTATTTGTTGGGGTCTTTCGGGGATGGAATTTAAGAATATGGGTCTACCGACATCTTGGGTCTAGACGGTACAGGCTTGTGAGAGTGGTTCAGGCCGGACGGGCGAAGGATTTTCAAGCTTGAGGGATGTCCCTGAGTCCTGCGTCCTAGGATGCTTGTGTTGTAGATACAATGACTCCCTAAACCCAGCCCCTTACCGTACCGCTTCTCGGAAACACTACTTCATGGATCATGGGACTCAGTAACTCGATTTAGGGATAAGGGTTTTATCATGAATACTAGCCGTGATTCCTGAAATTTCGACTGTAAGAGCAACTACAATGGCTTAGTACCTTGAACTATACTTATGAATACTATCAGCCCCGATTCGGTTACTGCATGATAGCCTTACCTGCGAAGTTGCATGATCCTCCGAGTAAGCACCTCAAGGAGAAGTCGTCTTGGGAGTTCAGGGTTGAGGCCGTACTCAGAAGTGGAGCGGGTGGTGATCAGTATCTGCACATGTCCCCCGGATGTGACTCCCTGCTGGATAGAGCTCCGGGTGTACAGAAAAATATTTCAGGGTTTAGTTGCGAAGCATCCAGGGCTTTCCTACTGGTCTCGAAATCCTAAACCTTGAGCCCTAAGCCGTAAAACCAAGATTGTGAGGCCTGGGGTGTAGTGCACCAGAATTCATGGCGTTACAAGGCCTTCGGAGCCATCAAACCCCAACCCTCAGCGCTCCGGCAGGACCAGAAATATTCATAATACTATGTTAGAACATTCCTAGTTTTCGAATATTTTCGAACTTGATAGCAGTAATAACAGTAATAATCAATAACCATGAGCAGCAATCAATGTCCAATACAAGCCAACTCCTTACCTAAACCCCTAGAAGTAGGTGAAATAATTCTGAAATAGTGGCCCAAAACCTATCCAGGGCTATTAATGTAAATACTTTTGGGGTCCAGGAACGGTCTAGGGGGTTGACAGTGCTGGATCCTTTTATCCGAAAATTTCTCATGCCATGAGACCATCAGGGGCCAAGCTCGCCCAGACACTGGACGCATCCACCCGAAGATCTCATAAACACATCTGGCTCCTATAGTAGTTTTGGTGCGATGTACGCCAAGCAGATCTCTCTAACTACATTACGTAATTAATCCAAAGACCCGACAAGAGACAAAGTCGTGGGTCCTTGAGCTTCAGATTGTCTATCAACTCTGCCACAAGTTGTGCGTTTACCTCAAGAAGCAGGCGGTGTTAAGCCAGCATAAGCTGCTCTTCATTTCGAAAATTATAGTTATGATTCAAGTGCTGCTAGACCCGCTGGATGCAAGGTTTAGGGTTTAGGGGCAACGGCAGAGAGAGAGAGAGAGAGAGAGACAGAGCGCGAGATTCGAGTGCAGGCTTTGGTACGAAGTCACGTTGGTTGTGCAGCGAAATCAGTGGAGGAGCCACTGCCGCCGGTGCAGCGGCGGTTCTCTTGCCCCGATCAGCTACAGGCCCGGTTCTGTTCGTCTAGGGATTTAGGGGTATATCATAGGAAAAATATGGAGCCCTAAGGAATGATATTTGATAGATTTTCCAGGCTTCTCTTTTAATTACTTATAAGGGTTCGTCAAAGCAGTTGCCCAAATACTCCAAAAACTCTGTACTTAAGCATCATCACTCGTTTTTCCTTTACTATACTCTTGTTATTATCAGTATTAGTATTAGACTAGCTATGTTCTAACTGTTAATTTTTTCTTATTGCTATGAGTAGTCTTATTTCGTATTCTTCTTCTTTTCGGAACTCCGGGAGGAGTTTCTTGCTTTGGTTTTTGCAACTGAAGTTTCTGGTGTAGGTTTCAGGGGTCGGCAAAATTAGGAAATTTATCTCCTTATCGCCTGCCTCTATATGGTTCTTCAAGACTGGGCCCCTGAACCCTCATCTAATCGTTTTTCCTTTTCATTGTTCGACATGATCTGTTCGAGGTGCTCATGGTTTGTATGCATTCGTTTTGACGGCTGGGCCACATGGTGCGAGGTCGTTGTTTCAGCATATTCATGATCGAGGTGAAGGGCTCGTACACTCAACCCTAACCGTCTAAATTCTGCACCCATTTCGGAGGTCAGATCTACACATAGTACACTTTGCACGGCATTGCATCGAGAGCTCTCTGAATAATACTAGCCTAGAGCGACACAGCTCCGCAGGAAAAGTTCGCGAATCCATAGACCTATAGTTGAGACTATGTCGTCTGTCATGTTTCTGAAACAGCGCGGTTGATGCCTCGTAAGATTCATGCCTGGCTTCCGATCGTGACACAGGTGCCATCATCATGCCAGAGAAGTAGCTCGAAGACGTCGTGGCCCAACTGCAAGAGATCAGGTCTCTATCTGAAGATGACAGAGCATGTGCAATGGAATGCGGGTGGGGCACAGTCTGTGAACGGCTGCTATAGCTGGGCAGTTGTGAAAGAGCCTCTATTGAAATTTAGAACCTCGCTGAAGCCTGTATCCCTTAGTTAAGGGGTCATGGGCTGACTGGGTGGGAGCCGTCTCTTGGGGGTACTTAACAACAATTGGTAGTTTTTGGTTATTATAATCCCTAAGAAACAGGTAAAATTATAATTTTGCTAGGGTTCTAAGTTCAGTATAGTACAGCCCTTTGCAATATCGTCAACCCCCTACAGAACTACGGTTGATGATATAAATCCTGCATCACCTTAATGACCCCAGTCTATGGGAATTATGGTCTATTCCTTATTATGGGTAATGCAAGATTTGTGTCATCAACCGTAGTATATACCATCTTGCAGAAGCCCTAAAGCCCCTAAAGCCTCAAACTCCCAGGAGACCCCCCCCCCCCCCAAACTGTCCTGACAATCTCTCAGGAACGTCTCCGCACCCAGCGTGGTCTTATTGGCTGACCCTCGGCCGCTCCTGAAAGGATGTTCTGCTTTCTGCATAGAAAAGATGCTCACTATATGTTAGCATAAATACAAACAAACTGCTAGATATTTCGATGATTAAGAAGATATACTTTATGTTCCGAATTGAGTATATTCCATAAATCATTAATAATACTCTTATTTTGCGGAGGGCATCCTTTTAAAGACCTCCGTCAACAGCCCGGGGCCCAGGACTCGGCGCAGCTGCAAATGCTGAGGACGCCCAGCAAGGTAGCCGGAACGAGTGTCGAGACGTAGGATCTGGGGCTTCAGGGTCAAGGTGACTTTTCTGCTTCTTATGTTGCTTGTTGTTCTTACTGTGATTGTGATTATGCATTATGTTTCGTATCCTGTTGATCCCATAAGGACCGGTTTTCGAGTTTGTTTGCGCCGTACCGATAGGCTCATACCCTACCCCTTTTTGAAGGTACCTGCTTTTCCATGCAGGAGATCCTAACCATAACACTAGGTACCCTAAAAAAGGAGTGGGGTATGACCCTCCAGGTATTGCGTTTTGTCAGAGATACGGCAGTGGGTTCCTGGAAGCCGGCACATCGCTTCTCGCAAGCAAAGCCCAAAGCTACAACACGGCTTGTTTCCCCTCCTAACCTCAGAGCCCACAATATTGGTGGCTGTTTGTAGAGGTCGAAGTCATATTGGGAATTTTTTCAGAATATGGCTTCTGACAAAAAATTCTGAACTAATGGGCTCGGTAACAGGAGAGTCGCGTGCAGACCCTGTTGCGGCTCGCACTGACTCGGTTTAGGGTTCAGGATGTCGTCGGGCTCCCTCTACATGGTTGTGATGTTTAGGGTTTAGGGATATACACCTCCAAGCCGACCGTGTCTTAGGGCTCGCGATTTTATTAATAACGATAATAGGTGCAGGGTTTGCCGTAGGGTCCATGACTTGGAGCAGGTGTCTGTTACTTCTAGCCGGTCCCTGCCGCAGCGACCGACGGAGCAAATGGTGGAGGCCTGGTGAAAGGTCAAGTGCTTGATGTTGCAGTGTCCGTGATTTCTGGTATTATAGGGGTCGGAATCAGTCGTAATTATAACGGCCGCTGTATTAGGGCTTAGGGTGAAGGTTTTGATGCGCTCTTGTTAGTTTTGCGTCGTTGCCTTCGCGCTGAACCGCAGATTCGTCGATAGTCTAAGTTATCGCCGAACCCGTTACCGGGCAGGACTCCACTTGTAGATGACTGCTGACCTTCACGGTTTGGGTTTTGCAACACCCTACCACGATGAAAGGGTAAACATTTAATCATATCCACATTTACCCTGCTATTGTAAAAGTACTATAAAAGGGACGCGGTGCTCAATCTAGCTACAGTACAGGACCCACCAACCCCCGTGCAATTATTGGAGTTTTCAAGCTAAGCCCTGCGTTCAAGCCTACGAGCCCCTTGAAAACCCTATAGAAACTCATCAAACTCTATCCCCCAAACCCCACACCCAAACCCTAAGCCCTAAACCCGAACCCTAAACTCTACACCTAAGTCCTAAACCAAAACCCTAAACCCCAAGCCAACCAACCAGCCGACCTAAACCCAACGAAAAGCCAAACCGAAACCATACCTACTAGGAACTCTAAACCCTAAACCCTAAACGGTTACTACGAGCCAAACCGAAACCATACCTACTAGGAACTCTCAATCCTAAACCCTAAACCGTTACTACGAACCAGACCGAAAAGCCAAACCGAAACCATACCTACTAGGAACTCTAAACCCTAAACCCTAAACCGTTACTACGAGCCAAACCGAAACCATACCTACCAGGAACTCTAAACCCTAAACCCTAAACCGCTACTACGAACCAGACAGAAAAGCCAAGAGCAGGTGTCCAGGCGGCCAAGCACCGCCTCAGCGAACGCACCGCCGGTCTCCAGCTTGGTGCCTTTGGTAGGGTTTAAGTTAGAAGCTGCCCCCACCCTGTAACAGTGACTATAAGGATTGTATGAGGGCCCTATTCTATTCCCACTATACCACTATTACAGGGTGGGGGCAGCTTCTAAGGTTTAAGGTTTAAATCTAGGGCCTTAATAGTTAGAACAGGTTTCTGTGTAAATTATAGTATAATAGTTAGAGTTAGAACAGGTTTCGGCGTGTAGTATAGTATTGTTATTATCAGGAATCCTGAGGAATAAGTTTGGTAATTGTCCAGGCTTCTAGATGGAGGCTTTTAGGGGGGCCTTTAGGGAGTTCGGGCCTGAGGCAGTTCAAGCTTTCGGGGCAGGGGAAGTTTTAGGGTTTAGGGTTTTTAGGGTTTAGGGTTTAGGGTTTAGGGTTTAGGGTTGGTTTTGAGACAGTTCGGGTTTCGGACCTGTCTAGGGAGCTTAAGGGGTTTAGGGGTTCAGCGTTCAGTGGTTTGGGGTTTAGGGTTTAGGGGTTTTGGGTCTAGGGTTTAGGGTCTTTGTGGTAGGGTTTAGCGGTTTACGGCTGGGTGTTGAGAAGTTCAGGCTTGAGGGTGCTACAGTAGGTGTCACGGTTGGGGGGGGGGGCTTGCCACTCTGAGGCAGGAAGGACCCCTTTTGGAAAGGAGTGCCCACATGAAGCCCCACTTGCAGGTTCACGGGTAGTTGCCTGTACGTAGAGTGACTATACTTATAACCCATAGAAGGGGACTTGTAACGCCACCTAGTACTACCTTAAACCCCAATCCTAAACCCTAAAAAACCCTATAGAACCTTTGAAAGGAACCCTAAACTCTTATAGCTCCGCTTAGAACTACAATCCTAAACCCTAAACTCTAAAATTCCAATAGAACCCTTCAAAGTGACCCCTATCACCCCACTTAGAACTACTACCCTAAACCCCAAACCTTATAACCCCACTTAAAAACTACAAGAAATAAGCAGCAAATGGGAGCTTCCGACAATAGTGGACCCTCATAAAGTACCCCAAATAGTAGGGTCCCTATTATGAGGAACCCCCCAAAATCAGGTACCCCGAACTTTCCGAAACTCCCAAATGGGAGTTTCCGAAAATCGGGGACCCTAATATAGTACCCTAAATAGTAGGAACCTTATTATAAGGACCCCTAAATGAGGTACCCTTATTTTCGGAAACTCCCAAATGAAGGCGAAAGACAGACTGACATCCACATGGAGATCCTCCCAGGCTGCCGCGGCGAGCGGAGGACGAAGCTTTCGGGAATGAGTCACATGACTTTGGGGCTTTAGTGGTTTAGGGAGTTTGGGGTTTAGGGTTTGGGGGGTTTGAGTTGGGGTTTAGGGGTTTGGGGTTTGGGGGGGTTGAGTTGGGGTTTAGGGTGTAGGGGTTTAGGGTTTAGGGGTTTGGGGGTAGGGGTTTAGGGGGTTTGGGGATGTAGGGGGTTAGTCATAATTTAAGGGGTTTAGGGTGTAGGAGCAAGCTTAGATTCGGGGTTTACGGTTTTGGGTTTTGAGAACAGCATTGTAAGTCTTGCTCAGCAGGGAAGCTCTGAATAAACTTCGCCCTCCTCAACCCTATTCGTCCTACTTGGAGGCTCATGGGTAGCTAGAAGTGAGGTTGTAAGTAGGATTCCTCGGGTTCCTTTGAGGCTTTAAGGGTTATATGTACCGTTATCCCACGGGTTTTAAGTAAGGTTCCTTCAAGGGGTATAGGTATCGCTATCCGTTAAGACCTACCCATGGACCGAAGCCGCTCCCTCCGTCGCTTCCAGGACGCAGCCCAAGCAATCGTGCAAGCAGCCGCCCGGCTGTGTCAGAAGCTCCACATTCTATAAATACTACTCGTAATGCTTATAGTTCCCTTATATAGAGACATACACACGCACACACCCACCAACCAAAAAATTGGCGGGGTGCAGTCTTGTACGCGGTTCTAAGACTACAAAGCCCCCCTCGTATTGTGGCTTCACACCGTGCCGGCTTGAGAACCTAGGGTTTGTAGCGTGGGGTTTTGTGTTTGTGTGCTTTGCTTTCGTTGAGTTGATGCAAGACGAGCTGCCAATAATGCCAGTAATAGTCCCCAGGAGCATAACCAAGAGTCTTGAGCGACGGAGAAGAAGATGATTATGGTGATGGTGGTGGTGACAGCAACAAGCAGCAGCAGGAGGAGGGAGGAGGAGGAGGAGGAGGAGGTGGTTTGCAAATGCTAGTACCAAGACCTTAAGAGTAGCAGCAGTAGCAGGATGCCTCAGTAGCTTACTCAAGATCATACAAAGCTGAAGCGTGCGGACACCACTGGAAGCAGCAGCAAGACTTTGTATGATAAGTAAACTCCGACACATATCCTCTTCAGGATCATAACAAGAGCAAAAAACACGTAGGACGTACGGCCGTTCGGAGTTCAGTGGGATTTGAAGGGCACTTTGATTGCTGGAGGCCAGGCCATCTGGTAGCTTCCGAGAACAGGGGACCCTAATATAGTTCCATAAATAGTAGGATCCTTATTAGAAGGACCCCAAAATAATGCACCCCTAATTTTCGGAAACTCCCATCTTGCTGCAAAATCCAGCCACGCCGGCGCCTTGCACCCGAGGCAGACACAGCCAGCAAAGCGCGTCCTCCGCGCAAGCGAAGCAAGCGAAGTTGCAGGCAGGCGAGCCGCAAACTCCACAATCAAGACCTCATATATACTAATTACTACGGTTGATTTAATGACCCTAGACTATGGGAATGATGGTACATTCCTTATCATGGTTAATGCAGGATTTACATCATCAACGGAATGATTAGGATTATGACTATTATTACCACTATGCTTGTTGCTATGTTGCTACTTTTGCTGTTGGAAGTGTTGTTATTCGTAATAGTAATTAATGTCCTCATTTTTAAGCTTTGATAATGTTGTTGTCATGCTACATCAGCTCGAAAATAAAAAGTCGTAAAGCCTACCTTAACCCGGAATAACCTGCCTTTTTCAGGACTTATATAAGAACATCAAACTAAGGAATCCCAAAAAGGTAGGGTTTTGGTGGTTAAGGCCGAGGGCCTGTCTGGTCCCTGAGCACCCTACGCGTGTGTCCAGATCACACCAAGAGCTCGTAGCTCTAGGTTTCGAGATTCCCCGAGGCCCAGTACGGTTCTAATAGAGTCTATAGTATAGTATAGTATAGTATAGTATAGCCTAGTATAGTATATAAGTATGTATATATATATATAAATATAAATATAAAGTATAGTATGATTATAAAGCACAATATTGTATAACAGTACGAGTCCAAAGTGAACGAAAACGGTAAGAAGAAACGAGCTTTGGTGCTCAGTTTCTAGCGGTCACACAAGAACTCTTTGCGAACGGTTGTCGACGAAATGCAGTACATTTCGCGTGCGAACTAGAATGTATTTACATCAAGCCCCTGGCCCAAACATGTAAAACACTCGAAAGCATGTGGGAGAGCCATCGAAGCCCTGCGAACCCCAGCGGCAAAAAGGCACCGGCGAGCCCGAGTCGCAGCCGCCTCGGCAGCAAAGCATCTCAGGTCCATCCCATCAACATGCTGTCCTAGTGATTGGAATACCACTCCCCTTTCTGCACATGGTATAGGGTCTAGGATTTAGAGCTTAGGGTTTCGGGTTTTTAGTGCTGTCCTAGTGTCGTGAAAGCGCGGATGTCGACGCTAGGTTGCCGCTTACAATCTGCTGAAGATCTTGGGTGCCAAAGCACCCTAAACCCAAACCTGCAAGCACAGGACCGCAAAGCCACCAAAGAGTTTAGGGGTACTCTTCCGTGCGGCGGCATTTTTGGCTTGGGCTTCGGGATATCCGGGTTTTAAATCCTACAGCCAAAAAAACGGCCCTCCAACCCAAACCTGGAATGACTTCTTATAGTAACCCAGCAAAGAACCCTTACGGTACTCCTTCAGGACTGGACTGTTCTAGAAGCCCTTAGGCCTTGTAGAACCACTGTAGTAGGTCTGTCGTGCACGTTTTGGGCACTTGCATCTACAGTCAGGTCTCCTGGTGTGGAGAGCTTTCGCAGGGGACTTCAATCTGGGTGGTTTCAGGGGTTGATGGGGTGGACAATGTTGGACAGAGAGCATTTCCTGCATGCCCGGTGCATGTGGTTTTGTCATGCTAGGTGCGGCAAGAGCCGGCACCGCCATTCCTACCAGCCCAAATTTAACCACAAAGTCGAGAACGCAAATGTCAGTGCACGAGTTCTTGCCACATGCTCTGGCACTCATACCTTGTACAGCATGGATTTTGATCTGGACCTAGATGCTGTTGAGCCGTGTCGGATTGGAGCCGCTGCGCACAACAACGTGTGACGTGTGCGTTGTAGCTTCGTTCGAGTCATCAAGCTCTTTCGAACCGTCCTATAATGGTATTCCCTAGGGCTCCGCATTCTAGTTGTACTTCAAAGTTCAAAGTATTCTGACCATTAAGGGGTCCCCTAAATTGCGCACGTGTAAGTTCGAAGCTCTAAGCCTTCGTACACTAGGCCACTGGTCTTAGAAACAGCGAACCTTCATGATATCTTCCGTCAGCCGATAGGATTGTCTTCTGACGCGTCATGAAGTGGCGTGGGAAAGTGTCCATCAGTAGCATCATCGTTTTGTACTCGTATGTTTACTGTTTTCACAATTGCTGTACCCAAATGGTATATACTTTGGCCTCAAGGTGCTCCCTATATAGGTACATTGGGGCTAAAGTATATACTATTTGATACGTGGACCCTGAGGGATATTTATAATATTAATGGTCTGGACCTGCCAAGTTCAGAGATTCCCTGGGTCGCAACCACTCACCCAGATTACTGAGCTTCAAACGTTGAGACTAGCAGGCTTCCTCAAACCCGATTTTCTGGGGGCCTGAATACTTACCAATACTGTTTTGGGGGTTCCTTGTTGTAAGTATTATTGAGGCCCCTATGGATAACTTATATACCCTAGATCCTAAACCTCCAAAATCCTAAAAGCCAAATCCTAAGCCTTAAAGCCCTGAACCCCATTAAAACTCCGGATCAGGCGGAAGGAAGAGCGGCTAAAAAAAAAAAACAAGCCCTGAAGCCGCAAACCGTGGTAGCCTGCGGCCCCCCGTAAGCTCAACAGCATGAGGTTCTTTCAAGGCTCCGACCCGAGCCCTCCCCTCTCTGGCGATAGCCAGTTGTTCCGTGGGGCATATCCCCAATGCGTCGAGGTCATTTGATGTAGGGTTTTAGGATTTTACGCAGTGCGGGTTCAAAAAAGCATTCCCTGCTCAAAAAAGGGGTGCAGGGTTTAGGCTCGGGTTCCTAAATCTCGAAGTCTTGCGACAGACAACGTGAACAGTTGCGACTACTTTAAAATTTCAAACCCCCCGCGTCCAAGCCTGCACAAAGTGTGATACAATCCCTTCATAGCTGTAGGGCAGTATACCCTGGAGACCTTAAAGTCGTCTCCTGGCATCGAAGAGAATGTCTCTCGTCTTACCTTGGGTTAGTAGGGAATGGAGGAATGGGGTACAATTATAACTAACTATTACTGCCATTCTTCCATTCCCTACTAACCAAAGGTAAGTCGTTCGTCGGACTCGGCCCCTCATTTGACTTGGACGCCTTCAGATGTCTCTTCTGCCAGGCTAGTGCCAGGCTACAGCGCCCGGTCTCCGACAATGTAGTACAAGGCGTCGTAATAACGAGTAATTCTGTAGGGTTCCTTCTACATAACATTTGTACTGCTAGAGCATACCTTGAAACCCTATTCTGAATATTAGGGGCCTGGGTCGTTGTACTTGGGTTTTGGGGGGGGTTCTAGATCCAAGGCTTGAGTTTGCCAGGTGTTGAGATGAGGCTCTTTACCCTGATGTAGGGGCCTGAATAATTAGAATAGGGTTTTGGGGTAAACTTTGCTATGAGGTACATGAAGGACCCCGAGCTACTCTAATTATGCGGCCCCGACGTTAGACGTTTATACGATTGGCTTATAGACCAAAGGTATAAGTGTTTCGTGGCCTTGGTAAACGTCGGCTTTGGTCGCCCTCAGAACCCTACTTCGACTCCCCGTTCGTGATTCCTGACAATTCCTGAACCCCAAAAGTATGCAGAACAGTGGCCTTTTATAGGTTTTGTGCCATCATTTTTTCACTTTTGAGGATCTAGGTACTTGTTCCGTAACTAAAGTGACCGAGCTGCAGCAATGGTCTGTTGATAGCCTCGCTTATTCCTACCCCACAAACCTCTCAGAGCAATCTTCAACCTGGCGCTTGCCTACATCAGCCAGTGGCGTTGAACCCTATACCTTAGAAGCTGCCCCACACTGTAATAGTGGTATATAATCGGAATATAATAGGAATAGGGTCCTAATATAATTCTTATAGTCACTATTACCCTAAACCCTAAACAGGGTGGGGGCAGCTTCTAACCTATACCCAAGGTTCAGAAACTGCTCCCTTGAGCTTCTGATCCCTCAGCTTTTTTGACCAGTCACTCCACATCCTCTGCTGACACGCTCTGTGATATCAGGCTGCTCGGTGCACAGGGGTGACCCGGCAGACTCCCCAAGTGACGGTTTAGGGTTTAGGGTTTAGGGTTTAGGGTTTAGGGTTTAGTTTTGTTGTTTGATCTTTACCTGCAGCATCTCTGTATGTAGACGCTTTGTTTTAATTACGCCGTTAGGACAAAATGTTTTTCAAAGGCACCAAGAGCCAAGAACAGCAGGTTTTTAGCGAAAATTTATTGTTAGGATGGCATCCGCGCCAACTGAGTACCACAGCCCGAAACCCGAAATCCAAACACGTTTCAACTTGGAACCCCAAACACTGAACTTTACAACCCCAAAGCGCTAAACTCTTATCTTTGTTGATGCTTGATTGTCTTCCTTTCCGATTTATTTCATTCAGCAGACTCATGACCACTGACCACATGCCTCGGCTGGATTGTGCCAGTGTGAATGCCGAAGCTTGTGTTACTTAGGTACGGCCCCCGCTCAGCAATGGTTGAATAAAATTCATCATATAGATATATTAGGACCTTATAATAATAGCCCTATTATGGACTCTTACTGTATGGGGGCCGTACCCAAGGTATTACCACCTAAGCCTTTCAGTGTTCTGACTTCCGGAGCGAGGATTTGGGACAACTTACCGTTGGTTAGTAGGGAATGGAAGAATGGTAGTAAGGTTCCCTTCAGGGTTCCTTGAAAGGGTTCTATAAGGATTCTCTGGGGGATTTAAGGGGGGAGTAAGAATGGTAGTAATAGTAGTCATAAGAATACCCCATTCCTCCATTCTCTACTAACCCAGGGTAAGACAAGGGCTTGCAGAGATGAGGTTGAGGGCTCAAGGGCTTTAAGTTCCTTTTGGAGTTCAGAGGGTTTGATTTAATTTTCAGGCTGAGGGTTTTGGGATTTGATGTAACAGTTCGGGATTTGGGGGATTCGGGGGTTACAGGTCTTACGTCTTCTTCTTTCCGTTCTTATCGTTCATTGCTCGTACACTGTTTTTGGTAGCGTCGTTTTTGGTGAATTCTAGGGTTTAGGGTTTTTGTGTGCAGTCATCTTCGAAAATTTCATTTCTCCGTCTTTGAGCTTAGAAGGTTAGGGTGTGAAGGATATTGATGTTTTGGAGGATTCTGCCTGCCACCATTTTACAATGTTTTGAGAAAGAGAAGCCGCAATCCTCTGAAGGATGGATGAGCCACGGGCAGAGGTTGCTTTACGTGGTTTTCCACGCGGCTCTAAGCCGTTTTATACGGGCTTTACATTGCCTTAAAGCAATGTGAAACGAACCCAAAACTTGGAGTACTGTCCCACCCAGAAACGATTATCTACATATTTTGTGTCTGTAATCATATACAGCCCAGAATGTGACCCCTACTGTAGACTGTTATAAGGTGCGCAGGATGCAGCCTAAACCCTAATCCAACGGTTTCAATTGTGTTTGTTGGCCTCCGGGGCTGTGCCGACTCCAAGTCCCACCCAAGGATTGAAACCCCAAACTCAAACATCTTAGGTTTGGAGGTTTTGGGGCTTGGGGTTTGGGGGTTCGGAGGATAAGGACCTGTCTAAACTAAGGCACGATGCACACATGGGCGAGGGATACCCCAAAGGCCTCCAGCACAAGCCTTGAAGAGGACTTCACCTAAAGACGGACTTGCGCATCTCAAGCTAAATACAGAACTCTCAATAAGTTTTTTATTGGATGCGATTGGAAGACCTAGTTTGGGGTTTGGGGGTGTAGGGTTTAGGGCCTCTGCAGCAAGAGGAAGGGTACTTCAGAAACCGCACGTGTAGAGTCTAGAGGCTTTGGTGCATCGCCCCCACAGGCTTTAGCAGTTTTTGCATTTGTCAAGGAATGCAACCGGTAAGAAAACTTAGATGTCTTGGGTTCCAACTTATGATTCCCCTATGTATTTGCTGGAAGAAGTCGGTTCTCTGGTGTTCAGGTGTATGTTGCCATTCTAGATGTGCCGGTGCTCTCCATTTTTGCGGCTTCAAGCTTCAAGCTTACCAGCTGGATTGGAAGATCCGCGTGTCGGGCCACCAAATATAGGGACCGGAGTAACTATTGATGGTATCCCTCAAGGGCT